CAAAGGCCATGTGATCAGAGTCTTTCTGGAATTTTCTAGATACAGTTTCACAGTTTTTCCATCTCTAAACACCCAGGAGGCTCCCTAGTCTTCATCTTCCCCCTCCTTTTCCTTCCAGCACACGTGACTGTGTGAACTGGACTCGTATGTCTCTCGTTGTTAGACAGTGAAGGGACCCTGAGAATATAAGCTCTGACAGCGGGGACTTGCTTTGTTGAGCTCAGTTCTATTTGCAACCCTAAGCCATCCTTTTCATCCCCAATAGCAGTTTTGGATGCACCATTGGTAGGATAAAGAAATCACATGTTATTGATGTAGCAGGTGACAGTCAACATGGCTGAAGTGGGGTAAAAGAAAAGGTCATAAAGCATCGGAAAGGTTCAGTGGCTCCTTGGTGATGGACTTTCACTCTGGGTAAAAGACCCCGGTTTCAGTTTCTCTAAATCAGGCTGGTTATTGTCTGAAGCTTTTATTGGACACTGGAGGAAATCCAGGCCCAATGCTTAGCTTTTCCTCCTACCTTCTGCTTAGCTTCTTTTTCCCAACTTAACTGCTCATGAATGTGTCCACCAAAGATAAACTCGGGATGACGGGAGATAAAACCCTGACTAAGAAAGACCTTCAGGTACTGTCTGGAGACAGTGTCAACCCCTCCGCCCCCAACCTGTTTGAATGTCTTCTGCATTCCTCAAGAAACTAAGCGTGCCTTTACTGACAACAGTAAAGCTTTATTCCAGCCAAGGTTGGACTTTGAAATTTGAATTTCTTAGCATTTGCTGAATAACGCGAAAGTTCTCTTTATTTCTGTTTAAAAGTTTTTCCATCCTACACCTCATCATTTCTCCCTCTAGTTGAAGAAAGTATTTGAGGTTTAGAGATTTGGAATTTGCCCACTTGGAGGAGGGCAGCTGACACATTTCTTGCTCTGTAGTCACTTTATCCAAGCCCCTCCAGCCAGGAGCTGGCTCCTTTCCCTACCCTACTAGCTCTGTAGCGTCCCCAAATGCCATTGGTAAAACAGAGACGACTTCTGTGCTCTGAAGAGGAGCCTCACCATTTCCTGACAGCTCTGCACTAAAATCGCTCCCCACTTCCAATCTTTTGTGAACGTGGGCGAATGTAGTTCGCCTTTCTTCAGAGACGACCATTTTCTCATCTCCTGTATAAATCCAACAAGGTGCCAAACACAAGCAAAGGATTTCTAGAGACTCTTGAGGGCAGCATGCTTAATTCACATGAATGAAATAAATTTTAAATGTTTTCATGAGCAGTGCAGTTATAATTGCTGGCTAGTTTGTAACAAGTGGCCAACATCTGAAAGTTTATAACTATTAGATGAACAAATAAAGAGCCCATATCTGTGGTCAGCGAGACTCACAGTCAGGTCTAATAGATGAAAGAAACTGTTCTAACCCTGGTCTGTTTTCTCTGGGATCCCTGCTACAGGTCCATGAACAGTGATTAATTACCCCAAAAGTTACTCTTGAGGCCACAGAATCCTTGGTTGGCTCATGCTTATCCCAGGAGAAACTGAATTGCCTGGCTTTTATGATCTGATTAATTAATGTTTAGTAAATTTTATAAGTGTGTAATTTTTGTTTTATTGGATGGAAATATCTTTCAAGTGTTTCTTTTACCCCCAGAGAAAAATGTGGTTCATACTAAAATTTTTGTATCAAGGTTCCCAAAAATAAGTATACACAACCCCAAATAACACTTAAACTATTGGACATAATTAAGATGTAGTTTTGTATTTTTTTTATTACAATGCAACTTCTCAAATGCAAATTCTCTCAGAATGTGTATCATTAAAATTTTCTCAGAATCAAACATTCAAGGATTGGATTCTGAAAAAAAGTTGTATTATTTCTTCATTGAAGTTTCATTATTTAAGAAGAGTAAAGTGATTTAAACAGGAAGGTATTTGGCAGTAATTTGCCATTTAATCAATGTGTAGTGTGACTGAAAGTTTCAGTCTCATTGCGAGGGCATTCAATCCCAAGAGGCATTCTGACGGTAGGTTTAACTATTGATTTCTCCATGCTTTCTCTCTCTTGCTTTTTGAGAACATTCTTCTTGTGTGACTGCATATTTACATAATTAACCAGCCTTCTACACTGTAAGATTCAACATCAGGTGCTCTGATAGCAGCTAGTGGATGGAAATTGCCTAGCAAGTGATGTGATAGAAATCAAGGAATATAAAGTGTCTATCACTGGTAGCAAAGCCTTCCTTCACTGATCCCTTATGAATAATTTACAGAATATAAGTAATTAATGGGGAATTAAAGTCTAAATGTGGTGCTTTTTAGATCAGCATTATTTAGGCAGACACGATTAGAATTCTTTGCAATGTAGGCCTTTAATTGAATGCCAGAGCAAAAGGCCTTGAAAGTTATAATGATTTAAATGATTATGGAAATTGTAATTGCACCTTAAGAGATATGGAAGTGAGGCGGACACAGAGCTGGCAATCAGGACAGAGTGTGTTTGAGAGCAGAAAGGAGGATTGCATAAATACCCAGCGATTCCTACTAAATGAGCTCATGAGGTGGAGGGTACAGAGCCTCATCAGAATTCATTTTGAATGTCAGAAGGACTTTGATGCCCCCTTTCCTGTGTGCATCATAAGAATTAAGCACCACATGTGTAAACACACAATGAAAACCAATATTTTTTAATTTTATACCTCTGGAACCCTTTGCAGATCAGGCACATAGCAAATATATGCATTTCATTGATGACTTTTAGTGATGCTTATGGCTTGCACTGCCTGGTGTTGTCTCTAATTCACACCCCCAACACACTCATATGAGGTCAGGGATTTTGTTGTTTTTCGTTTCCCTTAGAATTTAGTCTGTTGACTTTTGTTTCAGCTGTTGGTATAAAACTACAGGCTGCTTTCATGGTAAAATTGAGCTCAGGGGGTAAAACAAGTCTAGAAAGACATGTGTATGTGTGTGTGTGTGTGTGTGTGTGTGTGTGTGTGTGTGTGTGTGTGTGTTCATGTATATATGGTATACATGAACGTAGAGGCCAGATGACAAACTCAGGTCCTGCCCACCTTGCTTTTTGAGACCGGATCTCTTATTGGCCTGGGACTTGCCATGCAGGCTGGCCTTGCTGGCCAGTGAGCCTCAGGGACCCTCCTTTCCCAGCCTTCCCAGGAATGGGATTACAGACATTTGCTGCCATCCCTGGATTTCTTTTCTTAAACATGGTTCTGGAAGGTTAACTTGGGTCTTCATGCATATACAGCAAGTGCTTATGAGTTATGAAAGCAGTTAGTTTTCTCTATTTTTTGATAGTGGTATAAAAATACTCTACTATAGAAACCTCTTCAGAGGAATAAACTTATGCATAGTTGAAAGAGTTAGTACTATTCATATTGTACTGTGTTTGTTCAGCTTTCTCTTTTCACAGATAGTAGACTTGTACCATTAAGAGATTGGGTGATCTTGTTCTTGAGATGGCTCCATGAAAGGCTGGGACTTTTATCTTTCTGGGAAACAAATATGCAATATACAAACTGTCAGTGTGCATAATGACCCCCAGGTGACTTCAAGCAGCATCTCTCAGGGAGACCTTTTCCTAACTTCTTTCAAGCTTGAGGAAATGTTATTCAAGAGCCTAGAAATTTGTAAGGTTCTTGGGGTGGTTTATCTGAGAATTCAGGGTGGTGTTTTGGTATCAGAACATTATCTATGTAGTTGCTCAATTTCCTTCCCTTATATCACATTGTGAACATCGTGTCATTAAACATTATGAGAATGTGATTTGAGGGGTTGGGGAAATGGATGAGCAGTTAAGAATGTTTGCTATACAATCAGGAGGACTGCAAATTGGATCCCGATACCTAGGTAACAAGCTGGGTATCTCTGCAAATGTTTGAAACCCCAGCTCTGAGGGCTTGGGTTTGCAGGCTTCCAGCCTAGCCAAGAGTAAGCCTCAGCTTCAGGGAGAGAACCTGCTTCAGAGAAACAGGCAGAGAATGATAGAGAAAGACTCCAACACCCTCTTCTAGCCTGTACATGTACACACACATGTACAGGTGGGACATACCCTTCCATGCATAAGCACATATAGTCACATAGGCATGCATATATACATATAAGCTTACATAAATATATTAATTAAAAACATTTTGCAGTGGCCACTATTTGCTCTTTATATTATGCTATTTTGTTATTATTAATGTGTACATGTTTTCTTTTAATTGGAATTAGTCATTTACTTGGAATTAGCCAGGGGTGTGCCCATTCTTTTCTATTTCCACTGTTGCCATTTCTGTCAAAGCTACTATTATTTCCTCTCTAATTTTTTTCAGTAGCCAGAAAGTCCTGACAAGCCTCAACGATGCATCTGCCTGGTGTCTTAGTTAGGGTTTCTATGGCTGTGATAAAACACCGTGACCAAAAGCAACTTGGAGAGGAAGGGTCTGTTTCAACTTACACTTCTACATCACAGTCCATCATCAAAGGAAGTCAGGGCAGGAGCTTAAGGCAGGAACCTAAAGGCAGGAATTAAAACATACACCATGAGGAGTGCTGCTTGTTGGATTGCTCCTTGTGGCTTGTTCAGCCTGCTTTCTTATACAGCTCAGGGGTACCTACCCAGGGGCAGCACAGCCAACAATGGGCAGGACCCTCTCCCATCAATCACTCATTACGAAAAGGCACTCCTAACTTGTCTACAGGCAAATGTTATGGAGGCATTTTCTTAATTGAGAGTCCCTCTTCCCAAATAACTCCAACTTCTGTCAAGTTGACAATAAACTAGCCAGGACACTGGGTTTCTGCTTTATTTCCAGAGAACCACTGTCCTGGGTTTGAGGCATCTCCCCCTAGTTGACAGGGCTGCTGGGGTTAATCTCCTGTAGAAACTCAAGTTTCTCTTTTGCTCTCAGAAGGAACAGCCTCTGTAATAGCATCATGCGCCTCTGCTCTGTTTCTGTGGTACAACTTTGTGTAACATTAATGCCTGGACATGTTTTCTTGACAGCTGGCTAACTTTCCCAGACTCTGTGAGGAAACAGAAAGGATTGTTGCTAACCACATCCGTGAGCGAGAAGGGAAGACCAAGGACCAGGTGAGTGAAGGTTTTCCTGGTGGCAGTGCCTTTGTGGAAGGATTTTTACCAAGGTGTGTGGCATGAATCCTAAGTGGTCTTTTAATAAAAACCCAGAGACAGATATTGGGGTAAATGCTGAAAGATCAGAGAGACAAAGGAACAAGCCACTAGAGAAACTTCTCACCACTACCGAATCCTCAGGCAGAATGGAAGGCGAGATCCTATCTTCACAAATCCTCTGACTGAAAGCCTGTGAGTCCTCAGTTGAAAAGGCTTCTAGTTCCTGTTTCCTCACACCTTATATGCCTTTCTCTGTCCAGCCCGTTTCACTTCCTTCCTAGTGCTGGGATTAATGGCATGTGTGCTTCCCAAATACTGGTAGCAAAGGCATGAGATCTCAAGTGCTGGGATTAAAGGTATGTGACTCCCAAATACTGGGATTAAAGGTGTGTGCCACCACTGCCTGGCTCTGTTTCTCTCCTAGACTGAATCAATCTCACGTAGTCCAGGGTTGCTTTGAACTCACAGAGATGCTAGGATTAAAGGTGTGTGCCACCACTGCCTGGCCTCTATGTTTAATCTAGTGCCTGGCTCTGTCCTCTGATCCTCAGGCAAGCTTTATGTGATACACAATATATCACCACAAAGGTATCTGGTTGTTGCCTAGTCCTCAATCACAAAACAGTAAAGCACATAGCAACATCATGCTTGCTTTTACTTTTTATGAATTATATATATATATATATGTTACTACTATACCAAAGTCTTACGCAAGGATCCAGAAGTCTAAAATTTAAAATCAACAATACAAATCCAGAGCCAAGTATGGGGCTCACACCTGCAATCTCTGCACTTGAGAAGCAGAGGCAGGAGGATTGCCACAAGTCTGAGGCCAGCCTGAGCTACAGTGTAAGATCCTGTCTCAGTGAACAGATCAACAACCAGGAACAACCTGCCTTCCACATAGGAAGCGCTGTCATTTCAACCTTCCATGACTATTCTGTTACCGTTCCAGCATATACACACTGCTCGTTGATAACCATTGAACCAGAAACACACCACATTTTTTCCTTTTAGATGGATTTCTCATCTATTAATGGATTTGTACATGAACTCCAGGATATTAAAAACAATTCTAAACATTTTTCTTACAGATTTCTATGAACTTGCCTGTGAAATCTACATTGAAGAAAGATGTTTAGGAACTAATGTTTTAAACATTCAGAACTACCTTGCAAATTCACTTGGCTTGTAAGGAATGACCTTGAAACCATCTTTAAACCCTAGCACTCTGACTTGGAAAGATAATTTTTAAGGGAGGATACTTTATTTGAGAAAAAGGATAGCAAATTCTCATGTCAAAATGGCGTTTTCTTCATTACTTATCAACACGATAATGGAAAATACTAAGGTTTTCAAATGCTCTTCCACGCCACAGCTGCAAGCATCGTGCAGAGAGAATACTGGATTTGGGCCATGCGTTCTCTCCCAAATAACAGTGTGTTCTTGTGAAAATCACTTCTTAGGACTGTTGGTTTTCTTTCATGGGCAGGATTGGGCTGTTGTTCTATATGGTCTCTGAGTGCATCCATAAGTTAGTACTCCAAGATTTTATGATTCTTAGATGGGTTGGAAGGAGGAAGGAGAAAAAGTGAAGAGAAAGAGGAGAGAAAAAATAGAGAGTAGAAACCACAGTAAGAGAGACACACACAGCTTGCATAACGTAAGTGTGCAGATGGGAGAGGAAGCAGGAAGTGAAGAGACAGTCCCAGAGGCTTGGCAGGCTGGGACATTTGTGAGGAACCCCAGTGAAAACCGTTTTCTTTACTTGAGCTTGGAACTGATTGTTACTACTTTTTTATCAGTGTGCTTTGAAAATTAATTGCCCACCATTTATAATTTCCACTTATTTTCCAGCTTTTACAATCTTGGATAGCAGCCCAAAGTAGAGAAAAGAGGTATTGTAACCTAGCCAGCATTAACTCACGAGCCAGTGAAACGAAGCCAGGAATCTCAGACGTATAGTCCCAAGCTAGAGGTTCCCTCTCCCCATCTAATGTCTTGGCTGCTGCTGGACCAGTACAAGCCAGTTCTATCAAATCCTGTAATTGCAGCACTTAGGAAGTAGAGGCAGGAGGATTAGGAATTCAGGTTCATTCTCTGTTACGTAGCCATTTCGAGGCTAGGCCGAGCTCCATGAAACCCTGTCCAGTTTTATTTCCATTGCTGAGATAACGTCTCCCTGACAAAAGACAGCTTAGGAGAGAAAGGATTTCTTTTGGCTTACCGTTCCATCACCACACAACACTCAAGGTAGCAGGGATTCGAAGCAGCTTCTTACATCATACCCACAGTCAGGAACAGAGAGGAAGGAATGTGGGGCTCTTCTTTGCTCACTTTCCCTAAACTGATCAGGGCCCTGACTGTGAAATGGCCACACTCAGGGTAGGTTTTTCCACCTCAAATAACCAAGAAAAAAAAAGTCCCTTACAGATATGGCCACAGGCCAGCTTGATATATGCAATCCCTCATTGGGACTCTCTCTGGCTGGTACTAGGTTATGTCAAGTTGACAGTGAATACTACCTATCACAGACCTGTCTCAAAAAAATCAATTGTACATTTGATCTTAAATGAACAAGGTGCTTTGACTTGGGTTTTTATCCTGTTACACTCGAATGATGGCATATAAGATTAACTCATAGGGATCCTGAGTAAAACTAATATTGGAGGAAAAGTAGTATGTTGTTTTACCATCACTGTGGCCCTATATAGGTCAGGTGCTGATATTTTCATGTTGACTTTTTCATTCTTTCATTTTTCTCTTGTTTTGGTAAAATGACATATTCAATTTAGCATTAGATCTGGAACTACTAGGCCCCTGTGTCCAAGAACCAAGTGTAGCTAGAGTTTTCCTGCCTGGCCCACAGTCAGGACAAATCTCTCTCACCTGCCAGTCCCACAGCCACTCAGACCCGACCAAGTAAACACAGAGAGTTATATTGGTTACAAACTGTATGGCCGTGGCAGGCTTCTTGCTAACTGTTCTTACAGCTTAAATTAATCCATTTCTATAAATCTATACCTTGCCACATGGCTCGTGGCTTACCGGCATCTTCACATGCTGTTTGTCATGGTGGCGGCTAGCAGTGTCTCCCTCACCCAGCTTCCTGTTCTCTCAATTCTCCTCTCTGTTAGTCCCGCCTATACTTCCTGCCTGGCCACTGGCCAATCAGTGATTTATTTATTGACCAATCAGCAACACATTTGACATACAGACCATCCCATAGCACTGTGGACCTGGAGAGTAAGCAGACAGATCAGTGACTCCACAGACTTAAGTTCATACTACAGTTCTGACTGAAGTGGAGTCCTGGCTTGTAGTAGCATAAGGCAGACCCCAGGATTTGCATCAGAAGACATACGCTTCTAAAGTCACCAGGACAGAAGACATCACTTCTGCCTGGGATATGCCTATTTTATGTCATGCTAATATCGAAGAGTCAGGCACAGTCCTGGCATCAGGGTCAGGTCCTAACACTCCTAGAAGCCCAATGGTGTTGTCCTTTATAGCATGCGGGAGACTGTGTGAAGGGGGTGGGTGTGGTCTAGGGCCCCTTGGAGGCAGTCATAGTGATTACAATCCAAAAAGGCTATGGTTGAGTCAGGGTGAATCCGTACATAATTGTGAAGTATGCCAGGCTAGCTCATTGTACCACTGGAACTTTAATTGTTATTAAGATAGTGCACTCTTAGCTTAGACTGCCTGAGCTTCAAATTCAAGCTCTAACTCTTACATTCTAGGTTAACATTTTGTAAGTTATTTTCATTCTTTAAAAGTATTTATCGTGTGTGTGTGTGTGTGTGTGTGTGTGTGTGTGTGTGTGTGTGTGTGTGTAGGTACATGTTTGTCATGACATATGTTTGGAGGTCAGATCTCTCCATCATGTGTGTTATAAAGGTCAAACTCAGGTCATCAGGCTTGATGCAAGTATCCTTACCTGCTGAATTATTTCAGTGTTCCAACTTGCATATGTATATATATATATGTGTGTGTGTGTATACACACACACACACACACACATACACCCCTTTAGGATATATATATATATATGTGTGTGTGTGTGTGTGTGTGTGTGTGTGTGTGTGTATATATATACACACACAATACACACACACCTTTAGGATAAGCAGTGATAGTTAACTCATGGACATTTTATGAGGATGAAATCCATGCACAGCTCTTTGTTCCAATTAGTTACTTACCTTTGCATCACCATGAACATAATACCCGACAGAAACAACTCAAGGGAGGGAAGTGTTACTTTGTATTCCTTCCTCCTACAGTCCCAATGACAAACCAAGTTGCCGTTCCACTAAAGTTCAGTCTGCAGAGCCAGTGAGTTTGTTAGGCTTACGTACAGAGGAAGAGGTGAGCAACTTTAGGCAGGAGAATGGCTGACCTTAAAGCAGCCACTATAGGAGGTCTGTACCTAGCATGGATGGTGACTCCTCCACGGTTGTATGATGGAGTCCCTTCCCTTCACCTGTCCCTAAATATATCCTCTAGCCCTTCTCAGAGACTGCAAGGTCATGTGGAGTTAGGGCAGAATTGCCCATACCTGGTAGGCAAGGTTGGGAGGATATTCAGGTAGGGGTGCCATGAACCTCCCCATCCCCTTCTAAGAAGGAGTGCCAATAGTCAACAAGCCCAGCTGTGATGATCTTCAGTGAGCAGGCACAACCTAAATCCTGACAATGCAGTAGTTCAGCTCAGAGGATAGTCCCGTACAACAGGTGGTTATAATCTTCAAAGACTGTCCCCTAGTGACATACTTACTCCAGCTCAGATCCACCTCACAAAGTTCAGTCTTCCACAATGCCACCATCATGCAGGGAACAAGCCTTCAAAACATAAGCCAGGGAGACATTTAAAATTCAAACTACAACACCATACCCATACCACCAAAGAAAGGTTCATGGCTTGTCATAAAGAAAAGTGCACTTGATCAAACCATAAGCTTTCTGAAGTCTTCACATTCTAACATTGCTTGAAAGTTTGTCAGTCTCTACTCAGACTCAAGGCAGTCTCTTAGCTGTTAACTTCTGTAAAATAAAAAAGAAAGTTACATACTTCTAATCCATAATGGTATAGAGTAAAATAGCAGGAAGAGGGAGGGCAGTAAGGAAAAATTGGACTAAACTGAGGCTAAAACCCAGAAGAGAAGATTTCCAGCATCTAGGGAATATAACGGTATCATCTGAGCTCCAATGTGCTCAGCAGCCCTGTCCTCACAGTCTTACCATTTTTGGTACATATTAGCTTTCCTCCTGGGTGGCTCCATTCCTGTCTCTGCAGGTTCCAGAGTTAAACAACTGACCCACATTCCTGGTATCTCCAACATCCTGCAGTTCTCACTGTAACTTAGTCATCATACTCATGTCTTTCTGTTATGTTAGGGTATTCCTTCAAGGAATCAGACCCTGGTACGTGATGCCGGGTCTCGTGGGCTTTTCCTTGGAGTATTAGTGGAAGCCTCTGTGACCCCATAAGTCTTGTGTTCTGCATGCTTGCAAATCATGCACTTCATGGACAATGCCAAGTTGTACTCTGCGTCTGAACAGTGTCAGGCCTCCTGGCTGTGGCTGTAGTGACCTTTGATTGCCTAGGCGCTGAACCTGGGAAGCACTTTCATATGTGAGCAGGGTGCTCTGGAGGCACTTGCTTACCAAGGAGAAGTCTCTTAAGTGGGTTTGAAGTTTTGTACCTAGGGTCTATAATGGGTAGAATCTGCCCAATATCTGGAATATTCTTGGGGAACTCCCGTTATCTTGTGCAGAGTGCTTGGATTTTCTTTAAAGGCTCTAAATTCTTTAAAGCCACAGCTCTTTGTCTGACAAAGCAAATGAGCTTGTTTTCCTTCCCAAACAGTGTTTTCCCACGTAGTTTGCTCCTGATGCTTACTGCGACTCGTACTAAAAGCAGCCAGCAGTAAACCAGGCCACCTGCCTGACTTCAATGCTGTCTTGACGTTCCCTCACCAAATAACCAGTTCTTTACTTTTGAATTCAGCCTTAAAAATTTCAAGACACAGGCCAAACATAGACAAATCCTTTGCCAGAGTATAAAAATTGTGCAATGTGAAAAACTCTAGGGTTTCTCTAACCCATGTCTCCAAATTTTCAAATTCCTCCTGTAAACCACTTCCAAAGGCCCAGGGACTACATGGTCAATTGAGTCATAACAACCCTACTTCCCTAGTACAGCCTTCTGGTATTAGTTTCTTTGGCATTGCTGTGACCACAGTAGCCAACATAAACAACCTAAGGAGAAAATGCTTACATCAACTCACACCTTCAGAGGATTTCAGTCCATCATGGTGGGAAGATATGGGAAAACATCACAGATCATTGTGGCAGGAGCACGTGACAGCATCTGGTCACGTGCTGACAAACCAGGAACCAAGGGGTGAACCGGGAACCAAGGCTGGTCGTAACTTTCCAGGGTCCACCCTACTGACTACTGCCAGCTAGGCTCTACAGGAAGGCTCCAGAACTTCCCCAATAGCACCATGAGATGGGGGACATTTCAGATTAAAACCATAGCATTAACTTGAGCTGCTATTCATTCGTTGGGGCACAGCAGAGATGGGAAATGATGGCCTTTTCTGACTTCAGAGGAGTCTTCCAGCTGTGTCTTTGATGTACTGATTAATCCATTCTCCAAGTGGGGGATTAGAGATGGGATAGGTGTCTCCCTCTTTTCTTTAAAGTATTTATTTACTTGTGTGTGTGAGTGTATATGCACATATGTGAGTATATATGTGTGTATGGATACATACATACATACATACATACATACATACACACAGACAAACACACACAGACACACAGACATACACAGACACAGACACACACACACACACACACACACACACACACACACACACATACACACACATATATATATGAACTTCTGCATGTGCTCAGAGACCAGAGGAGAGCATTGGGTTTTCTTATGTATCACTTTCCAATTGTTATTTTGAGGCAGAGTCTCTCTCTGAATATGAGGCTAATGCAGTGGTTCTCAACCTGTAGGTCTCAATGCCTTTGGCAAACCTCTGTCTCCAAAATTATTTACATTATGATTCATAACAGTGGTAAAATTACAGTTATGAAATAGCAAGAAAAATAATTTTATGATTGTGGGTCACCATAACATAAGGAATTGTATTAAAGAGTCTCAGCATTAGGAAGGTTGAGAAACACTAGGCTAGTGCTTTCTTGGCTAGGCTGGAAGCCAACAAGCTCCAGTGATCCCCCTGTCTATGTCTCTCTTGAAGCTGGGGTTACAGGCATATGATAAATGCCTCATCTTATTTCTGGGTACTGGGATCCAAATACCAGTCTTCATGATTATGCAGCAAGTATTCTTTTTTTTTTTTATTGTGTTTTTGGTGTTTTTTGTTGTTGTTGTTTTTAAAGATTTATTTATTTATTATGTATACAGAAAAGGGTGCCAGATCTCTTTACAGATGGTTGTGAGCCACCATGTGGTTGCTGGGAATTGAACTCAGGACCTCTGGAAGAGCAGTCGGTGCTCTTAACCTCTGAGCCATCTCTCCAGCCCCGCAAGTATTCTTAACCACTGAGCCATCTGTCTAGTTTTAGGTCTTCCTTTCAAAGTAATGATCCCAGTGCCTGACAGTTATTCACCACCTCCTAGAAGCTTGTGGTCACTCCTGGTTTGGACCTGTGTAGCATAGGAGGAAAAACATGTTTTAGAAATGTAATTGTGTCATTTTGGATAGATGTCCCATTTGAATTCTGGACTACATGCTGTCTTGAGCCTTGTGCTTTTGATACAGCTCATCAGACAGTGGTCTATTTTCTCAATTCTCCATGCCTCTAAAATACTTTGAGACATTCCTACCATTTGCTTTCTTTAATTTTTTTTTTAAAAAAATTATTAACCACCCCTGCTCAGAAAATATTGAGGGTAGAAAAGGAATCCTCAAAATTAAACATGAAAACTCGTAAACTCATAAATCTGTAAGTTTTGTTCTTAAAGGTTTTTAGAACATCATATGTACCAGCTATTCTTCTAGATGTTTCTATATGCCTAATTACATGTCAAAAAAGAAGTTTTGTGAGTTTGTGAGTTGCTGCTGCTATAAGTGGTAAATTTATTTTTCTTCAACTAAATATTCAGTGACTGGGTAAGACCACAGGGAGAAACTCTGAGAAAGTGAAAAGATGCGAAAAAAATGTACTGTTTTCTTTTTCACCCCCCACATGCAACCTGGCCGTTTTCCTAGGCTGAACACAGACTCCCAATTTCCAGGAATATGAATGAGAACAGCCATAGCTTTTATTTTTTTCACTGTTTTCCTACACCACAGTCCAAGTTAATGAGTGTCTGTGTCCAGGGTGCTCATCATAGCTGTGGGTTACGCTGGCAATTATGTGGATATTTTGCTCTTTATGCCAGAACAATTTATTTGTACTTAAACATTATACTGCACAGATATGGAATGTTGGCAAATGAGTCTGGGAATATAATGTTTAAGAGAATCTGACTTGATTGGTGGGAGAATAGAGGTAACACTATAGCTAAATTAAAAATAATAATTCCTCAGTATTATTCAAGAGATAAAATTAAATTTTATCTAGGAAAATGGCCAGGTTGCATGTGGGGGATGGAAAAGAAAACAGTACATTTTTTCTCATCCTTTCACTTTCTCAGCACCAGATATGGAGGGATAGAGGTTGGGAGTTTAAGATCATCCTTATGTTCACAGTGAGTTTAAGGCTAGCCTGGGCTATGTGAGGCATTTCTCCCCTCACCTCCCCATCTTCCTCTTCTTCTTCCTCTTTCTTTTCTAAATAAAGGGTAAAAAAATGAAAGTGTAGGAGTTTTCTAATTTTCTTTTTTTTTAAACTTGTCACCAAGTCTCAGTATCTGAAAAAGGACATTGTGCTGTTAAAGGAACAAAAAGAAACACAGTAAGAGAAGTTTCTATTTGAAAATCTCCAGAATAAAGCCTTTTTCTGGCAATTTCTGCTTGCTCCACCTCCTTCTTGCCTCACTCAGGTCCCTTGGTTCCCCACTGTAGCCTCAGACATGTGTTCAATCCATCCCTTCATAGATCTCACCAACAACTATGTCGTTCAACACACTAGTCCAGGTCCTGGGCAACTGCAAGGCACCAAAGAGGGAGCTCTGTGCAGAATATGCCGAAGGTCCTCCATGTCAAGCACTAGTGCTGTACAAGAGACGAGGCAGTGTACAATGGTAGACTTTAATAACAAGCTATTCAGGCAGAAATGCCAGGGAAGCATCCTTTGTTGAGACAGTGTTTTAACTGAGCTTTGGCTGAAGTTTTAGTCAGGTAATGAACTTGACTCATCTGAAGCAGGTTCTCTATTTCTTTATGTATTATCTTTCTGAGTTGATAGATGAAATATTTCTGTTACCTAGAGGGTGCTTAAAAAGAAAAGTATGGAAAAAGTGAAGAAAATTCAGGGGTAATATTGCTTATATATGCTTGCCTTTCCTTAGAACATGGCCTCTGCTTTAGAGGAACAGAATAATTCTAGGTTTTGTTCTATGACAGCAAGCAGTTCATATGTCTATGTATTACAATGCTATTCTCTTCATGTGATACTTGGACTTATCCACCATGGAGGATTTTAACTTATAAATTTAGAGTGCAAAGGACTCAAAAAGAGAAAAATTATTTGATATTTTAATTAAAAAAAATCACTTTAAAAACCAAATACCAAGAAACAGCATGGACGATTATTGAATTGAACATTTGAGAATTTTGAAGATGGGTTGTCATGACAGTGATTCCGTTTGTCTTCCAGGTCCTGCTGTTGATTGACATTCAAGTCTCGTACATTAACACCAACCATGAAGACTTCATCGGCTTTGCAAAGTACGTGAGATAACTGATTGCCTATGCATTCTTACTGCTGCTTCATAAAAACATACGTTATCAGTTTCTACCACAGCTCTACCACCTTTAGACAGGACCAGTCTGGGTCAGGATAATTCTGAGTCCATCTACTTTAGAGCCCCATAGTCATGGAGCAGGAAAATTTACTATTCTCTTGATAAAGGGTGGTAGTTGGGTTTCTTGTGCAGAGCACAAAGTCATGTGTCTTGTTTTTCAAGACAAGGTTTCTCTGTGTAGTTTTGGTGCCCGTCCTGGATCTTGCTCTGTAGACCAGGCTGGCCTCAAACTCACACAGATCCGCCTGACTCTGCCTCCCGGGTGCTGGGATTAAAGGCGTGCACCACCACCACCTGGCTTTCATTATATTTTTGAAAGATGGTCTTTAGTTTGTACTTGAACTCCAATAGAGGAGCAACAATAATTGCACATTAAAGTTCAGGGTAATATTCTTTCTTCAATTAATTTGAAATACCAAATACAATTCCAGGTGGATGTGGTGGTTCATATTTGTAATCAATAGCATTTGGGAGGCTAAGTCAGGAGGGTTGTTGTGAATTGAATTCTAGCCAGCTTGAGCTACAGAGTGAGAGTCTGTCTCAAAAGGCAATAAAAAAAGACATATAAATAAAATAAAATAAACACTTGTAAGATTCAAAATATTAAGCTGTTTGGACTTCTCTACACCAGAATGAGGAGGACTTAAAACAGCAACAGTAACATACTTTTAAAATTTAGATGTGGACTATTGGGATACTCCTTTTTATAGAATGAATATGATTTACATACACTTGTTTATACATTACTATTCGTCACAGGTTATATATACAAATAGTTATTCGTTATGCTACATTTTAAGATTCTGAATTCACTATTTTTTTCTTTCTTGTTAATGGTGCCAGTATTTATTATGTTTGAAGAATCATGATCCTAGTTCTAACATGGCAAGCAAGCTGTTATAATCTAAAGAGTACAAAACAGTGCCTATTTTATATTAAATATAAAATAGAAAGTTTATGTGCTTTTACTTGGACTGTATGTTCAAGAACAAGGACAACAAAAATAAGACACACCAAAAATCAACTCAATTTATTTTATTTTACTCAGACTTGGAAGAAATATACACAGACCATGTGATCTAAACTAAATAGTGGCCCAAGAGATTTATAGGCATGTTTTAGGCAGGAGAATCTCAATTACCCAAAGAAAACCATCTCATCTGATTGAGGCTGTAGCTGTCATGGCTGAAGTAATGATATCAGTCTATTTTTCATCCAGTGGCTCTTACTGTTGAGAGGTGCATTAGTGTTTCCTGGCCATTCCCATCAATGTGCTATGTATTAACTTCTCAGAGCTCTGTGATAAACATGTTCCATTGCCCAGTTGTCCTTCAGCTACACTGACCACTCTTACCTCCAGATAGGCATCTGCTATATGAGCCTTTCCTGTAGATCTGTCCTCTCCCTCTTGGTCCCATGGCCCTTCCCATTTCTGCTCATTTCATTCTACAACATAACTTGATCTCTAATGTGTATCTCTTCCTCCTTGGTTTAGAAGGAGCTCTGAGAATTTCTTATACTTCTCCTTACAGTCAATGAACTCCAGGCAGTCCTATTATAGTTTCTATAGAGGATAAATAAAGACAAAGAAATTATGATCTGCCTTTCAGAAGGCTGTCTAACAAGTGATAGGTATCTAATGGCAAGCTCTTTATTTGTCTCATTGGCTTCTCTGAGGAGTTTAAAAGATGAACTTGTCTTTACATTATTAGAAATAACAGGAATGCTGCCTTCAAAGTTGATTTTTGTGATGGACAAATGCCAGTTAGAATCTTATAAACACATGGCAGCTCTGTGTATAAGCTAGATGCAGTGTGTCAAAAATGAAAAGAAGGCTACTGTGCTACCTCAAGGCACACCCCAAGTCAAGGAGATGGAGCAAAAGCCCAATGCCTTTTGGAAGGATTCAAGGCTTAAAATTATCACAGAACCATTGTTACAATTTCAATTTTACTGAACACTCTACTTTTTTCCTGAGACAGGTTTCATGTATAACCATGCTAGCTTTTAACTCTTTATGTAGCCAAGGATGGCCTTGAACTCTTGATTTTCCTGCCTCTGTGTCACCAGTGCTGAGTTTACAGGTGTGTGAAACCCTGCCCAGCTGTGTTCCTTTGTCCCAGATCAATATCTATCTTTCTCTCTGTCTGTCTGTCTGTCTATCTACCCCTCTGATCTTTTGTTTTCTATCTTTTTATAGGCTAGAGTTTATTTCTTTTTACAATAAATTTCAGTATTTTTGTTTTCCTCAGAAGCTGTAGGGCTATATTATTGGATTAATTTCTAGGTTTTCAAAGAAAATTTTCAAATGTAGAACTTTTAGACACAGCCTTTGACCCAGGAGACAGCTCCTGTTTTCCAGTGAGATGGACTTTATTGTGCTGAGGAGGAGTCGTGCTGTTAAAACTTTCCTAGAAGAGTGGGAACTTCTCTTCCCCCCAAACTTTCTTTTAAAGAACTAGTTTGGAAGCCAGCAGCTACTGGGTCATTTTTGTTTACTGGTTTAACAAACAGGACAAGGAATACTCCCTGTTTTATGTTCCTCTGAGAAGTGTCAGAAGATAAATCAATAAAATTAGAGACGAGTTGGAAATGTGTTAGAAAACTGTGGTATAGTCTGTTAGGGTTAGTCTCTCTGTCTCTGTCTCTATCTGTCTCTCTGTCTCCTCTCCCTCTACTTTTCTGTCTGTCTCATTCCCCTCTCCTTCCCTTCTTCCTTCCCTTTCCATACATAAAAACGAAAGACCTTGATCACAAGACTCCCAATTCTTTTTTTTTTTTGTGTGTGTGTGTGTGTGTGTGTGTGGTATGTAGTACATGTGCGTATGTACATATGTGGTGCATAGTGTGTGTGGACCTATGCATACATATGTAAGGCCAGAGGAAGATGTTGGTTGTCATCTATGATTCTGTGCCTCTCCTTTTAAGGCACAGTCTCTAAACTGGAAGTTCACCATTTCTGCTAGGCTGGTGGCCACTGAGTTCCAGGGGCCCATCTGTTGTCAACTCCCAATGCTGGGGTTACCAGCACTTGTAGCCATGAGTGGTTTTTTTTTTGAGTAGTGGCTGAGGATTTGAACTGAAGTCCCCTGCTTGCATAGCAAGCATTCATACCCACTGAACTGTCTCCCTCACCCCACTGTTCTCCTTTGTACTAAAATTTATAATAACTTACGTATGATTGCCTCTAGAATATTTTTAGTTGCTAATTTCATTATCCCAAAGACAATACTTAATTTTTCATTAATATGTATTAACTGTATATATTGATGGCTCTCAGCATGCTGCTTCAATGTATGCATACAGCATGCATTGATCAAATTTAGCCTCTGTTTATTCCGTCCCTCATTTTCTAGTAACCCCATCAAAGATAATGTTTTGCACTAAGAATCAAAGGTAAATGTTCTTTCCATTTGTATGCTGAGTACATTTCAGTGTGACATGGGGTAATTATGAAGATGAAGAAATGTTCATTTCAAAATCACTTTGAAGGATTGTGGTATTTTCTGTGCTTTTAAAAATTAAAAAAATATGGTCGTAGCTATAAATTTTAAAGTTGGCAGGAATGCTGTTTCCATCAAGGAAGAAAAGTCAAGCCATATTTGAAGACAATTATGTAAGTATTTCTTAGTGCCAAAGATAGAAAATGAAGGTCTAGCATTGAAGAAAATAGGCTCTTGGTTCATAAGAGTTTTAGTGAGTTGTCACAAAAGTATACAAGCTCTCGGGTTTGTGGGATGGTGATGTGTGCAGATACATGAAATGTTTGCAATGCAGCTGACTTTTTGCCCTAAAAGTTTTTTTTATGTTTGTGTGTTTATTTTTAAGAAAAAAACACATGCTAGAATTAGATGAACAGAATCTTTATTTTTAGAGTAACGTTCAGGACATCCCAGGGTTCTTTCAGCTACAGAACCTATTCTCTCCTCTGAGTCCAAGGGGCTTCCTTTTCAACCTCACAGCTGTCTGTTAAACATGGACCATAAAATATGTGCCATGTACAATAAGCCTCAGTATGTTCTGCTGAAGGCTGGCTTTGGTATTTCTTGGCTTCCAAATGCTTGGTATTTCAACTATAACAATATAATTTCTGAATGTAAAGTTCAGCATTTCAGATGAAAACATCAACTTTCCTTATGACTTAAGAGATTCAATTTGTCCTTCTTCCTCAATGAAAAAACAGTCCCCTAAATTATATTTTGTTAGGTCATCTACCTAATCTTTGCTATTTGAGAAAATCAGAACTGGGCCAGTTGTTCATTAGTTCATGCTCCTGTGTTCTCAGTAGTCACACTGTTGGAACACAGGGGCAAACGCCTTAGCTGAATGTCTTAGGAAGTCTGGAAGTTCAAATTCTTGTGCCCTTCTTGCATTGATTCTTAGACACAAATTGCCTCCTGAGTCCCTGAGATTTATGCAGTTAGTGGTTTAAGAGAAACAAGGCTCTCGACATGGCCCATTAAAAGCACATCTTCCCACTGTAAGCCTCAGACCCCAGGGTCAGTTTAGCTTTTCATCTGCGGAGGAGATCCGAACACCTGTTTTCTCACACTTGAAACGATACAGTGAGCTTATTTCACGTCTTGTTATGTGAGTACCGTGAAAATGCTGGGGGTTCTGACGCTCACTGTGTCTCTTTCCTGATCCTGTGGAATGCCTCTGTTACCACTTATCAAAGGCAGTGAGTTTAAACCTCCCACTAAATGCCAGAGCCAGCAGGGCAAGGTCCTTCCTTTACATTCTTCTTTTATGTTTCCTTATAACAAAATTAACTTCTAGGGTAATGATGTTCCTTGGTCCTACTCTTTACACAACGTGTCCTCTCTCTTTTGCAGCCAAAACTTGGCTATCAGAGTATAAAAGACTTTGGGGGGTACTCACATGCAGGTTGAGTAATAAAGTGTTTGAATGTTTGGTCACTGA